GCTCGAAATTCGGTCTATGTATTCCGACATATTTAAATCGTTACTGAGGGAGGTGGAACTCTTGTATTATATCAGTTGGGCATACTTTAATACTTCTTTTAAATCATGAACACGAGGGTGTTAGTGGAGCAGAAACTGTGCGAGGTGAATGAGTTCCAAAACAAGATATCCTTGCGGTCATTTATCTTTCAGATCGTTCATTTGTATATTACGGAGGGAGTCCGTTTGGGAAACAGAATTTTTGCGAATTGCAATCAATACATTTTGTCTCGCCATTTCGTCACGTCTCTTTGGCATGGAAGCTGCTAGGTTAGGGTCTTATAAGATAACATCGTCTTAACGTCCTGGCGGAAAAATAAACGACGGCGAGCGTCGCAATTACATTAAATTTGTTTAGGCACGTCCTTTAGTGCACATCGTGGTTGTTGTTGATTCGTTTGGGACACTTCGGGAAGTACAGGTCGTAATATTTGTGCCTGTGGGGAGATATTCTATTTAATGTATGCCGTAATGGGGCTCCGCTTTGTGTAGCGCAGTTTTTCGCCGTGAAGTGAGAAAATTATCTAGAGTGACCGTGGCTAGGTCTACGTTTGCACTGCGCGAATTTTCTCAGATAAATTAGCGGAAAAGAAAAAAAAACACTTCAATTAATAGGACTTTCCAAAAGCGGTAAAGTATTGTGAAAGGGATGAATTTTACCAACTTCTTGTGTTTTAATTTGCTCCTGTTGAAACCAAGGGCAAATCCACGTTATTTATACATTATATTTGTGCAGTTTCAAGGCTCAAGTATATTTCACGGACCGGTTTATGGTTCCCCAACCACCCCTGATCAAAGGTGCTGGCAACAATGTGTTGCGCTACTGTGAAAATCCAAATATATTAAATCAGCTCAGAAAAAATTAAGGGGAAATAGGTCTCTACCTTGCAATCATCCGTTCTCAAAGGTGATGCGAAGCCACAGACTAACAGAAAAGGAAAAATCCCGGCCGCTTAGTTGACAAAAAGATAAGTACCTAATTCAAATTTGAATTTTGATTATATTAATGACATAACACTCAGTGGCAATTGCCACGTTTCCTTCAAAATTGCTAGATAATCATAGCGGGTGTTCCCAAATAGTATGTAAAAGCGGAAGCGGCTTATTTTATGACTAAAGGTTCATATAAATATAGGTCCACAAGCGCTTCCTTTCCGATCTAAAGGGTGTTATATATTTCTACTGTACAGATTTTACAATATAAACCTTTAATTTACAAGCATATGCAAACACAATATTCAATGCCAACTGTCAAAAGTAATAAAAATTAAATACTACCTATCTAAATAAATCCAGGGCCTACTAAACCATTTTAAAAATTATACTTTCATTTCGCTAATTACCTCCGAAAAATTATTTTTTATATTTCTCCTCGATAACGGTCGCAGATACCAAAGAAATTCAAGGGACTAAACGTTTCTAAACAAATCATAAAATTAAATTCTTATTTTACAATCTAAGTGCACCTAAAAAAAAGTTTAGGTGTAGAAAATGGAACATGACCCCTGAAAAAAAAAACACCCTGTAGATTATCATTACCATTGACATGACCAATGATGCAACTTCAGCGTAACTTATATTTCAAATTTGAGCGAAATATCTCAAAAACTGCAGGATATATAAGAGAAAAAATATAAAAATTCGGAAAATTATAACACAACATAACAAAACTTGACTTTTGAAAAATAGATACGATCAAGTGACAAGTGAAATATTCAAGACTATCGGCCCACTTAGCGGGTGAGCGAGGAGGTACTCAATGCGCCCTAATTTCAAACATTTATGCTTTTTCTAACACTGATCGTTGATAATTATTTCCCAACAACATAAATGCTTATAGATTATTGTTACACAATCTGTTACTTAATCGGAATTATACATTTCAGATTTGCGAAAGAATAAGAATCAATTAATTAATGTATAAGTCTTAAAATGGATTAATTTGTAACAGTAATTATAAGCGCGAACTATTCATTACTTCGGCCTTGAAATTGGAACTGATTGAAACGCAATTTTATTTGCTTATATAGAAAAACGCCGTTCTTTCTGGAGGCTCCCGAGTATTCTTGAATGTTCTCTAACAAACACGTCGTATTTCCCGAAAAGATTGGGTCACATCTGTCTTCGCTCGTTATCGCCGATTCTTCTTCTTTCATGGCGCCTCGGAATTTCTGGAATATTCGCTACAATATTTCTTGATATAAATTCTACTGGTAGCGCACTATAACAGCATCTAAAACAGTTTTTACAACTACTGGTGGACGGTTGACAATTTTTATACATTTTTTTTCAAGAAATCTCCATTGTGGTTGCCCCCGACAGGATCTTAAAATTTCTTCTCGTAATCGAACAGGTCTGGCATTTTTTCCCAACGTTTTTCCAGTAGAATATTAGCAATACTTCATTTTTAATATCAGGGAAATTATGTGAATTTAAAAGGAAAGATCCATACAGAAATCTGTATACTTTGTGAAAATCGATTTAATCGATTCAATGGCTTGATCTTAAGAGTCTTAACATAGAAATTCTCAATTTTCGTCCAATTTACTCATTTAAGTATCTTTATTAGTTATTTCATTTTAATTCATTGCAAATTTGTGTCAAAGGTAGGTTTTAATCTCACTTGAACCAACTGGCTAGCTGGCTGGCAGTAAATGCGGGTCTGTAGAAAAACGTTTGGAGGAAGACAAGGAGTGCTACCGGCGCGGCGTCGTATAATTAACAAGTTACTACATGTTACTACATCTGGGATCCATCCCGAAGCGTGTTGTACTAACGTGGTGATTTTTCCTTCTTCTACAGTTTTGGTCCGATTGTGCGCACCTAAAAGTTTCTAAGTGCTTGAATCGTGGTCTCTCTTTCTCGTGTCGCCAATAGAAGCTGGAGCTATGAGAAGTGCCCCTAAAATTGAGTACTATTTTGTGGAGGGTTTTTAGCAAAACCCACCAAAATACGAATTGAGGGTGAACTGGACGTCGGAGGTGGGCACCGACAAAGGGAATGTGGTAGCCTTCAACAAGATCTTATTGATGGACACGAGGACTTTGATATTTTTTTATTTACACCGTCACCTTCGAATATTAATTAAATTAATTTCTCGCAAGTGGCGGCATAGCCTGGCTCTGGCTCTATCCCTGTTTTGTGTTTTCATTTCATCGATTAATTAGGAACGTCTTTTTCGTATGAGTCGCATCTTCGTTAGATCTACCCATTCGTTAGCCATCACCGATTAATTAGGAGACACCTTTTTTCGTAGGAATCGCATCTACATTTGATCTCGTCTTTCGTTGGCTACCACCAATAACTTGGAACGTCTTTCTCGTATGAAGTGAATGAATGAATCAAGTTTCCTTTAGGAAAACAAACGGCCCCAATCGTTTGAACGGTTCGAATCGGTTGATAAATGCGACCTGTATCAGTGTATAGGGACCAACGCGATTTATAACCTTCGAAAACGTTCGTTCGCGATAATTCGAAACCTACCGAGCCGATTTAGTTCAAATGTATACAATTGACGCGTCTGGTAATCTTCTTTGACCATTCCGAATTTCGTAGATACCGATCGGCCGGCGCGTTTTCGAGAAATTGCAAATTTTTTTTGGGAAACCTTTTTTTTGGCGGAATATACTCATGGCGACCTTGTGCGTTATTGATTTGATAATACCTTAATTACTATAAAACTACACGTATATAGATGTCTTAAAAGTTCGATGTTTATTAATCGTTTCACTGGGGTCTGGGTAGCATTCCTTCATTCGCGTTTAATTGGGAACATTTTACATTAAGCTTAATTACCGATAAGCTGTACGTCAAATACTTTTTAGGAATTTGTTTTATTTTACTTTATTGTAATGCGTTATGGATTTTATTGCATGAAAGTTAATTTGCGATCTTAGAAAGGTTTGTTTTTAAATGTAGAGAAGGTTTTTGTTACCTATTATTAATAGTAAAAAGCTTGCAATAGGAATTTGATTTTTTTGTTTTTTTCACATCATATGCAGAAGCTTTAAAAGGTCTATTTGCTTTGCGCTAGTTGTCTCTGAAAAGAATGCAGGTGTAATTTGGAGCAATTGGACTCGTGCAGCCTCTAATTAGGTTAAATTTAAAACAGCTAACAATGTGTAGCGCAGGTAGCGACTCCAAAGTCGGCGCGCCTTTTCTATGAGAATCAGTCTTATTAAAATGTTTTGTAAATTGTATTTTATCATTAGTCATTATTATACATGTGACACACAATATAAGTGATGTGAATAATTTTCGCCTGCAGTTCCATTGGCCGACCATCCTAGTTGATTGTTGAAAATGATTAAGCGAGGAAAGTGAATATTTCTAAAAGACAAAAATGAGAAGGTAATCTTATTACTATTATACGTTGAATTAATTACAGCACAGAAGAGTATAATACTTACTCATAGAATAAATCCATCGTTTCCGGGTTTTAAAACTTATGATCTGCACGTGCAATATCACATTGAAGGCAAACAACACCTGTCTTTCAAACCTTGGCAAATTAAGGCAATTGCCGCTAGTTCATTATGTAATGAATCCTTGACAAAATTTGTATACACATACATGGCATGAACCTAATCGATGGGTTTGAAAAGAACACCGTTCAAAATGAGGTACACGAAAAGGTTTTAGAAATAAATTAAGGAGGAGTTCTTATTATGTATAAGACCCTTTGTCATTTTAAGGATCATGCGTATTTTTTCAAACTTAATTGGCCACTTCCTACGTGCAGAAAGAACGACGTTCAGTTTATTTTTATTCATTTGGCGCGTACTTTACGTTAAAGTAAAAAAAGTACAAATTAATGCAAATATGGGTTCACACGTTTTTAAAGAATGTAGTTTACATATTTTGTTATGACCCATTTATTTTTATTACCTTTACGGTGCATGGAAATGCTGGCCGTTTATAAGAAAACTGTTTTAATTAAGGAAGCAACTAAATTGCACCAATTTATTAAGTTTCTGTTGGTAGACCTCCTCCAAACGAATAACAAAATGTGTTTAAATCGTAATTTAACATGAGATAATTAGGATAAATAAATAGCAACGGCATTTACCACAGAGCATGCCCATATGGATGTCCATAACCATAAGCGTGTGTGTATCCATGTAGATAGGGGTAGTGTCCATATGAATATCCGTAAGGATATCCATAGGAATACCCGGCCGGGTATCCGTAATGACTATAACCGTAGTGTCCTGTATAAGGGTAGTGCTGGGTTAAAGCACCAGATATGGAAGATACTACTGGTGCTGCTGATGTAATAATTGACGATGCTGGTGCGGCGACAGTGACGCTGGGCGCCGCAACCGCTACAGCTGCAGCCGGAGCTGGTACGGATACTACAGTTCTCGCAAGAGGAACTTTCTGTACCACAGCATTGAACCCGTTCACATCATCTGCAGTATAATCCACAATTCGTTTTGTACCATCGGGTTCATCCAGAGTGTACTGGCCTTTAACAAAACCCCCATCTCTAGATTCGACTTGACTTTTAACATCTCCCGTTAATGGATCGTTTACTCCATAGCTGTAGGCATACTGGGGATGTGGATCGAATTCTGCACTAAGCAAAGTCTCAGTTATGACTGGTTCAATTACACTGGCACTGGCCAGCCCTATTAAGGCCACAAGAAATAAACTCTGTAACATAAACTGTTAATTAAGCAATTTTATTCACTTGAATCATTACCTTGCCAATCATTGTAGAACTATTTACGTTTTTAACAATCATTTGCTCTAATATCTTGCTTATATAGATCGCCAGGCGCCTTACATATTCAACAGGTTATATAAATCGGATACGCCCGCAAAAGGTTAACCACGCCGAGAATAGTTAGTTTGCATTAAAATTTAGTGTACTTTGTGGATAAGTACGTTATTAATATAGACAATGTTTGCAGTAGGCACTTATTTGCATAGTTTTTTGTACTGACAGCAGAAACAACACATTAACTTTTGCTCTAAAACGGTTATCAGGAAGGCGCGAATAGAGAGAAATGAACGAGGTAGATTAACTGACTTCTTTCAAGTGGAAAAGGACTAGTGCGGGTTCTTGTTGTTTAATTTACTATTGTTCCTTTGCAACCCCTAAAATTTGGACCATGGAGTTCAATCCTCGATCAAAATTTGCTGTTTAGGAAGACCAGAAACAAATCTAGAAATAGTTATTTACATAAAAGTCACGAAAATGACACATTACTGGCGAGGAAATATTGAAGTGAGTACTTTAATTTCCGAGTCAAGTATTGTCATTTTACTGACGAGTTTTGTATTAAATTTTACCCGAAATCGTCTTTTAATACAAAATATCAATTTTTATATATATCTTTTGATTAATGTCAATCTGTCAGTGATGATAGGAGTCATTATAGACATTTGGAAATGTCAAAAATGCGTCCGGTAAAGTGACAGGTGCGGCTAGTAAAGTGACAAGTGGCGCAGGAAACCTAGTTCTGCCTCTGTCAAGGAAACTAAAATTTCCTGACAGAAAGTAGGCATGAAAATGAAGGTTTCAGGACGATTTCTGAGAATGCCATCTAAAATTTTGCCGATGCAGAGTAAACGGTTTTGGTGACCACCAGTATTTCAAAAGTAAGGATTAATACCCATTGTTTCTTTTTACTATTAGAAGTGAAAATATAATTTATATTATTTCCGGTGCCGCAACCTTCTTATATTTTTCGTCCTTTCTCTTGGTTCTCCTCAAAAAAGTAGGAAACAATTTGTAATATCTAATAATCTGTAGGTACCTCTAATTCAAGGTTCCTGAAGTGAATTAAAAGCATCCCTCCATTTATTTTGTTTTTGTCGCTTCGGTTCGGTTCCTCGAATGCAACCTTATGAAGTAAAGTAAAAAAAAATTATCACAAATGAATGATGAGTATTTTTTTTTAACTTGTTTATTTGCAATCTGTAACAAAATTACAATGAGCAATTGGTTGGAAAAGAATATAAAAAAACATGTCAGGAACTTTCCTGCGAACGTTCCCATTACAATAAAATTGATATTGAAATTGGTTTAAGTATTTATTATAACGATGGTAGTGCCTTGGATAGTGCTAAAACCTATCAGGTAGATCACACGAGTGGTATCTACGCAGTCTTCTTCTGTACGGATGTGGACTCATTAATGTTTTGACCAGTGCTTTAGGGTGGTTTTTTAGACGGTCAGCGTATTTCCATGTTAGATTGGACACTTCTTCTTTAACACTGCGTATGTTCAGATCATTGGCTATTATTTTGTTAGGTACGTACCAAAGAGCATTTAATATAGTCCGAAGAACTTTAGATTGAAATCTTTCTAGTATTTCAATATTTGAATTTGAAGCAGTGCCCCATAGTTGAATTCCATAGCTCCATATGGGTTTTAAGATCGCTTTATAGATAAGAAGTTTACTCTTGGTTGATAAGCATGATCTACGCCCAATTAGCCAGTACAATTTCGTAAATGTTAGACCTAGTTGCTTACGCTTCATAAATATATGCGTTTTCCAGGTTAATCTGCGGTCAAGGTGCATACCTAGGTACTTAGCTTGCTGTTGCTGCTGTATCGGAAAGTTGTTCAGCATTACTGTGGGACAGGTCTCCTTTCGTTGTGTAAATGTCACGTGTATAGACTTGCTCTCATTTACTTTAATACGCCAAGTTTTGAACCAAGTGGATATCGCATTCAGGTTTTCTTGCAGTCGTTGTGAAGCAGCGGCCGGATCTTTATATGAGATGACAAGATAGCGGTATCGTCAGCATATGTCGCCGTAGTGACGTATTGGTTGGTGGGAAGGTGAGCTGTGTAGAGAAGATACAGCATAGGTCCAAGTACGCTTCCTTGAGGTACCCCAGCTTTAATTGGATACAGTGCCGTGTATTGGTCCTGGTGTTTAACTTGAAAGTGCCGTTCTTGTAGATATGATTTTAAAATCATATAATAATTGATGGGGAGTAGCTTTCTCATTTTAAACATTAACCCGGCATGCCACACCTTGTCAAACGCCTGAGCAACATCTAGGAAGACAGCCCAACAATATTTTTTGTTTTCTAGAGCTTGACTTATTTCTTTTGTGATGCGATGAATTTGTTCAGTGGTAGCGTGTTCTCTTCTAAACCCAAACTGGTGGTTCGGTATCAGGCCATTGTATTTTAATACTGGTTCTATTCTCTCGATAAGCAGCTTTTCTAGAACCTTTGACATAATAGGCAGTAGGCTAATGGGTCTATAAGATTTGACGTCTTCTGCTGGTTTGCCTGGTTTGGGTATTAGGATCACTTGTGCAACCTTCCATACCAGTGGAAAGTATCCTATTCTTATGATAGCATTGTAAAGCTGGGTTAGGAACTGTATTCCTTTATCTGACAGTTCCTTTAGAGTTCTGCCATTTATGAGGTCAAATCCGGGAGCTTTCCGCGCATTAAGGTCTTTCTGAATTATCCTTCGAGTAGCACGTTTAGTAACATTACGCAGAGGTGGGTCCAATTGGTGAGCTTCGTGTAGGAATCGTGCCACTTCGGTTTCAATATTACAATTTTCTTCCGGTACATGGGGCTGGAAAAAAACACTGGCTAAATGATTGGCAAACATTTGAGCTTTATCAGCATTATTTTTTGCCCAGTTTCCATCAGCCGTGCGGAGGGGAGGATTGGATAATTGGGTCCGTTTTATGTGATTGGTGGCTTTCCACAGGGAGTATTTAGTGTCGGCTATCGAGGACAGATTCTTAAGATAGTTCTGTAGCTTATTATGTTTGTCGGCATTAAGTAGCCGTTTCAGTTCTAGAGTCGCTTTATTTAGCCGTGTTTTGTCCACCGGTGCCCGAGTTCGTTGCCAAACTTTCCTTAATTTGCGTTTATCTGCAATTTTTTGTTTAATAAATAGTGACACTTCATAAGGCGTTCGTGATACTGATTTGAAGGGAGTTGACGACCATACTGCTTCCTGGATGGATGTAGTGAAGTAGTGCACGGCATCGTCTATGTCGAGGTCAGTTTTTAGTGGCACATTAACACTAAGTGTCTTGTCAAGTATGTCGCGGAAGGTATCCCAGTTTGTGTGCTTGTTACCCAGAGTTGGACTTGGTTCCTTGATTATACCTTTGGTGCTGATGGTTATTAGTATTGGCGAATGATCGGACGATAGTTCGAAGGAGGACCTTGCTTGTATGTCTTTTTGGGATATTCCCTTCACAATGCCAAAGTCAACAAGGTCAGGAATCTTTTTTCTGTCTGTCGGCCAGTATGTAGGTTCACCAGTAGACGTAAAATTTAAATTACTATTTTCCATTGCTGCTAGCCTTCCTTTGGGTGTTATTAATCGAGACCCCCAATGCGTGTGCTTGGCGTTGTAGTCACCAGCAGCAAGAAATCTGTACCCAAGCGTGTTGAAGAATTGGGTATATTGTGTTGTTTTAATGATATGTCGTGGAGGGCTGTAAACTGCTGTAATTGTTAGTGGGCCATGCCGGTCCGCCACTTCTATACTGGTTGCTTGTAAATAGTCGGATGTGTGGGGGTCTAGTTCATGATGTTTTATTGTTGACTTGACTATTACTGCTGTTCCTCCATGTGCGGTACCGTCAGGGTGATTCGTGCTGTAGATCGTATAGTTTGGAATTTTTAGATAGCTGCGCTTTGTGAAATGAGTTTCAGAGATAAGTACTATGTCGATATTATTGTCGAAAATAAAAGTTTTGAGTTCTTCAGCATGCTGAGAGAGCCCATTTGCGTTCCAAACAGCTAGATTGAAAAACTTACTCATTGTGATAGTTTATTTATGACAGTTGTTAGTAGGTTTAGTAATGTGCTCATTTGTTCCATAAGGCCCTTTACCATGTTTTTTAATTCAGCAATGCCGTTTGAGGCTGGTACGCTAATTGTAGGGTCAGCTTGTGGGACTGATGTTTCCGGGAGTTGTGCATTCCTGGTGGCATCCGCAAAGCTTCTACCGGGTTGCGTAGCAGATGTATTCCTGGTTGCATGAATTTCTGTAAGGGTTTGCTTTGGCCTAGAGGCGGGATATCCCTTCTCTTGGAGTTGTTGATAGACTGTGCAGCCTTTATAATTGGCAGGATGATTTCCTTCGCACAGTATGCATTTGACATCAGCTGATCTTTCCTTTCTCGGACAGTGATTTGTGGAGTGGTCACCTGTGCATTTCACACATCTTGGCCTGAGTTGACAGAAGTTTTTGGTATGTCCATATCGTTGACACCTTGCACATTGCGATATTTCACTTTTTTGACCAAGGGGCTCGACTTTAACTTTAAACTGCAGAAGGTACTCTAATTTGTAGATTTCTTTCTTCTTATTCTCAACTGAGTGCCCCAATTCTTCGATGGCTGTTTTGATGTCGTTCGTATCGATCGAGTGGTGCATGTTTTTGAGAACAACCCTAAAACTTCTTTCGGTTTTAATTTTGTACGAATAGAATTCTGTTTTTTTCTCAATCAGGGCTTTTGTTATAGTTGAGTAACTCTCAGGGGTCTTAGGTTGTATTTTGACTTGGTTTGACTGAAGTACTTTTATTTCATAATTGCTTTCGGCTATTTCATTTAATAAGTGTATGAGCGGTGTTATATTTTGGACTCCTTGAACGAATATTGGGGGTGGTCTGGGGTCCTTCACAACGCTGTTTTTGATTGATTGTTCGATGTCCATGCCTAAACCTTCCGGGTTGCTCAGAATGTCAAATCTATTTGACGTTGTTGGTGTACTGAGCCAATAGTCCAATTTTTGGTTTGTTTAACTTGTCTGTTTTCTGGACTACTCCGTTGCCTTTTATTGCGGTTTTGAATTGTTGTCCATTCAT